CAATTGTTTTTCACTTCCAATAGGTCAGCAACAAGGAGAGACTCACGGGTACGAAGACAGCCATAAAATTACATAAATATTTGCTAGTGTATGAAATTGATGTATTAATTTCCAACTATTTATCCTCCACACATACAGAAGTGGAAATTTAAGGAGACAAAAAGAAGAAAATCTATAATATTGTGCAGTCTCTCTATCTTGCCCTCCACTAGAGACAAATAATTAGCAGTTACCCTGATACAGACTAGAAATTTTCTTAGAAATTAGAGGCTACTTTTCACATTCAGATCATACCCATAGTTTTGCCAGCTGACACTCAGAATAACTCCTCCTGACTTACAGCAAACTACACAATGTCAGAGTAACACCACATAGCTCTGCTTTTCCTTCTTATTCCTGTTGACAAACAAGCAGGAGCTACAGGTGCAACTTCATCTTATTCTCAGCCCAATTTAACGGGGGATTGCTCCTGCAAGGAGCAGTCCATGTCTCCTCCCCCTGTCCAAGGAAGGCCCAGCTTGCTGTCTGATCAGTAAACTGATCCAGATGACCATGGGGATTGCACAACTACTGTATATAAGGGAGAGGGCAGGAATGTGTGCTGGCTGTGAGCTTTTCCCATTCTTCTTGAACGAGTTCACAAAGATTAAAACACACTAAACACTGTTTCATAAAATATTTGTCCAGGGCCTCAATGCCTCAACTGAAAGGTGTATAACTCATCATCCAAATTGCTGTAAACTAAATGAAGAAACGAAAAAGTTTAAAAAATCCTTTCCCAAAGGAGTTCTTCAGTTCTCATTCTCAAGTTTTGTAACATTACCATTAAACTCTATGATGGGACAAGACCTAAAGGGCTGATGCCAAAATATACATTTTAAACACCTACTAAAAGCTCATTCCCAAGAATATTTCCTATTATTTTTGGGTAAGAAATGCGTGAAGTCAAGAATTTGAAGAAGAGGAGACACACACCAAACACATTCCCTTGTATTCTTTCTACAGGTTGACTTTATTACTTTATTGGTAATGCTGAGATATACTTACCAAACTAACTAATATTCAATCATCTGCTTTCCTGTATGAGCCACTCTTCCATTGTTTAACTGGCTCAATTCACAATAAAATCTTGTCTATGTACTCCTTTTAATTTTGCTGGTATAGTGAAAATGATGAACCCTTATTGCAGGCTTATTTCTATTAATATAAAGGTGCTTTTTGCAGGCATAGTATATTTCAGATGGGAAGTGAAACCAATTATACCCATATAAGGTACTTTTCTACCAACAGAATTGTGTTTACACTAAGGTTTCTATAAGAAAACTAGAGTTGGGAAAAATATCATGCACTTAATCTGAAACAACCAGAACTACTATAAAAGCTGAACCTAAAAAACTGCCAAGTGAGACACTTATGATTCAGGGAACACAGGTATCTTCCACCCACTGAAGGGATCCAAAGAAAACTCCATTCAGCTATCATCTTCATTCAGCCATCATTAATCATGGGCAAGATACTGGGAAGACCACAGCAATTTGACATAAGAGATTTACAAGGTCATGAGTAGCACGTGGAAGATTTTCAGCTTACTCAAAATCCATGTGCATTTGGAGGCAAGCAACATCTCATGTACTTTTAAAAAAAAATATTAAAAAAATCCTCTTCCATGAACAAAAACACTATGCATTTTTTCTTCATTCCTCAAAAGTATTTATGAGAAAGGAGCTGGTCTTACTCTTAACTTCCAGGGTTACTTGGCCATTGATCTCAATAGCTGAAGGATTGTCCTCAAGGTTATGTCCTGGCACAAAATAAACCAACTTCTCTTGGTTGTGACAGGTGGATTAGGTTGTGGCAAACGTATATTAGAAATCACTAATTTAACTGCTTTTTCATCCACAATTCTTAATTTGCTTTAAAAGTATTTCTGTGAGGCATACTTACTGTACCAAGCACACCGTTTTTGAAAAATTCTCCAAAGATACTCACAAATGTATTCAGAACAGAACACCAAATAGTTCACTCCAAAGTAGCTCTCCCATTGTTTTTCTAGCTGGTGGACATCCACCCCACTGGCACTACTGGTACACTCCTAGTTCCAGTGTACTGTGGTGTCAGGTTTGGTGCTGGCCTATGTATGAATGCTGGAGGGAAATATGTGAGTTGGAGGGATGGGGGGCAAGGGAGTGGCTGGGTCACCCACTGTCCCCCCTGTAAGAGCTGTCCCTAAGATAACCACAACTTATCAAAGGGATTACTGAGAACAAACTGCAACCTAAAGATTACTCACACTGTTAAGTGCTGATGTGGGATAAACCACAGATAAGGAGATTAATGCTCTGATACAAAAAAGGAAAAAATATTTCTTCCTTTACCGAAGAATGACATATAATTGTATATGAATTACGATGAAAGGACAAGTTTCATGACATTTTTAGGAAATTATTTGGCCAAAGGATTTTTCATGCCTTTTCATCACAGGTTGTATGGAAAGATTCTGTACAACAAAGGTGTAGTGTTTCACTAAATCTCAGAGGGAAAACCCGCTCAACAATCAGGACTAGGTGATTTTAAAACTTGGGGTTTTTTATGGCCCATAAGACTGCTGAACTGATGGTGGTAGTGGTGAAGGTGGAATGAGTGTAGGAAGGTAGAACAGTTGCTCAACAATTTTTCTTGTTTGTAAAACATGCCTGCACTATTCTAGAACAACATAATACATAAAGTAGCCATAAGCAAAGACAACATGTATTTTTTTTTTATTTCACTGCTGAATGAAAGACAATAAGAGAACTGCTATCATAAATATTATCACTAAGGAAAAAAATCAGAAAAAAAGATTACCATACATAGACTAATATTACAGCTACACCATAAATATTTGGGGAAAGCAACTCCCTCTGCACAGAACATCTATTTTAAAGCAGAGCATATTGCAGTCTTTACACTTGCAACAAATAATTTTGCTAGCTCTAAAGATATTTTTTTTTCCCTTCCGAAGATCTCAGATCATTAAATGTAGCAGAGTTCATTATGAAACAGCGCAGTTGCTCAAAAGTTGAGAATTTCTTTTAATGAGAGCTGGAAATAGCTGCAACTGTAGTGTGTGACTCACAGCATAGTACCTCCCAGCGCAGTACAAACCATATGGTGGTTACAGCCTAACTTCCTCTCCCCAGCTCCTCCTTCCTCTACCCTGTAAGTCTACACTTGTTTATAGACCATAGTTATCACTATTTTGCAGATAAAACAACTTTCAAAACCTTGAAACCTGTAACTGGAAACTACTTGATGGTTTTTTACAGTAACTGCTTCACAGCTGCTGAAGTTCAAAAATAAACAACTTCAATACAGTATGAGAGCTCAGGCTTTCTGTGAAGTTGTGCTTTTAAACTCAAATGTTGGGACGCCTCTAACTAATTTTAAGGAAAGCAGAGTCAACCATTACTATGAAGATGCACTAACTATTTAATTTTCTGTGTATCAGTATTGTCCAACATCACACACAAGAAACGTGAGTTCATGAGCCCCAGTCTCTTAATGATATCAAGCTTCTATTGATCTGGAGGGTTCTCAATCTAAGAAGCCTGTTGAATTTGAATCAGCTGACAGTATCATCCTGGCACTTGGAACCTACATGGCAGAAAAAGGAAGCAGAAATGTTCTCATTTATTATACTTGTGTACCATTAAGCGTACAGCACAAAGAGGACCTCAGGAACTTCTTACAAGCTACTGTCTCTTCTTATATTAAATAAGAGTGCTAATAAGTGCTAAAGGATAAGTTACCTTAAGCATTTTAAAAAGCACCCATTTTGACTTTAATCCTGTTTTGGATCACAGGGAAATGTTGAAATTAGTGGAAGAGCAAGAGCATCACTGAGAGCAAGAGATGTGGTCACCCACTCTCAGTTCCAACATCTAGGGGTGACCTTGGCTCCAGCAGGCTCAGGGGAGCTCACAGCTGGAGAAATTCCTGATAAATCCTGGCCTGGTACACAATGTTGCAGTTGAAAACTCTGGAGATTGTAATCTGTGACAGTCCCCTGCAAGTCCTTACTGATATTCTTTAAATGCTCATGATCCAGTCAGATTGAGTGGATTTTCTACAGGTGGAGTAAACCAAATGTTCTTATGAGATTACAGCTGTAGAGCATATGGGTAATAACATTTCTGAGAGAAAGGGATGTCAGATCCCCTTTCACCCAAGAGATGGCCACATAATTTGTTTTTTGCAAGCAAGTTTTATAAAAACAGTTACTAAAGTTTGCTCAAAAGTTCCCCTCAAGAACATCAGCAAAACCCTGGTGGAAAATTTTAGTCAAAGCAGTTAAGTTTGTCAGTTTGAGCAAGGTCAGAACAGAACACTGTAATTCAAGTGTTTAGGCAAAACAAATATAAAAGTGGTACTAGATTTATCTTTAATACATGTTTACTACTCCTGATTTAATATCAAAAACCTTGTTGTAGAAGGATACTTTTAAAAAAAACGATTTTCATATTAACATTTATCTAAGGATAAAAACATTAACTACAACTTCATTACAAGATTTTTTTGTATATACAAAAATTTCTGAGACTATGTAGTTCATCATGATCTCTTATACCTGCAGCCTACCTACCTCTTCTTTCCACTGTCAGTCCAACAACAGAAATACAGAACAGCTTTTAAAACAAGTGCCCTGTGATTATTAAGAGTCTACTCAGCACACAACGAAGTTCCACGATATTTCCTGCCTCATAACTCCTTTAGATTGTTCTTCTGAGGTTGAACACTTCACAAGCTGTATGCAGTCTGGACATACCATAACGGTTTGGACTTTAAAGAGCATTAAAGAACAATCCCCTCTGACAGCTGTGATCGGGCAAAAAAACACCTTCCACACACCAACACACAGCACAGAGCATTTTTCCACTAGTTATGAGAGGTACTTTTTCCCTACTCATGAATAACACAGCCAAAGAGCACTTGGACTAGTAAAGCTACAGTGCGTTTAATACCTGCATGTACTTATAGGTGGCAGGAACCTTGCCGGATTGCCTTCCGCCCTGAAATTTGCCGGCGAGCGCGGCTCCCCCTTCAAGCCACACCGGGGCGGGCCTACGGCGCGGAGGGGCAGCCCTCCCGCATCCTCTCCCCATGTTTGACGGTTGGCAGCCGAGCCGGTAATCCGCCACTGGCGGAGAGCCGTG